TCTTTCCTATTTCTGCTCTACCATACACTTCTTATGGAAGGGCATGCAGATTAAAAATGCATTCCACTTTTTGCAGGATGTAAAAATGCTCATTCATAGCTGGGTTGTTTTTTTTTTTGGGGGGGGGGGGGTTTGTTGTTGGTTTCTTGGTTAACTCTTTACTATGTTATGACCAACTATCCTTCAGCTTACATGGTCTGCATAGTGTATCCAAGTCTATTTCGTCAATACGCCTTTCTCTCGTCATCCTGAGAAACCACTGATATTGTGGAAGGTAATGTGCTTACAGCTAACAAAGGAATTGAGTTATATAGACACAAAAACTGAAGCTAGAAGACAAAGTGAAAGCAATGCTATTGTAAGGTCCATTTCCATTTGCCTGCACTACACTTGAGACAAGGACTAAGCAAATTATTCATACTGCCTGAGTGGCAGGGCTGTGTTGGCAGGCAAATAAACACTAGGGCAGCATTAAAGACAGACACAATAATCTGTGTTATCATTCTGCAGTTTGCAGTTACATCTACTGTTGGCCATTCAAAGCAAATATTTAAATTTTCTTTGAGAAGCTGTACTGACACTTGAATGTGAAATTTTATGTTGGAGTCATCGTCAATGGATGTCCTAGTGCCTTCCAAAAGAGCAGCAGGAGTTGCTGCCGATTTCTGGCTACTGTTCATACAGTGCAGTGGAAGTAGATTGTGCTGTTACGGGGGAGTGAAGCTAAGCAAAAAGAATAGTTTTAACTTCTATAAGTAATTTGTGAAATATGCATTCTTTTAACATCCAGTGTTTGTATATGTCTGGGGAACACTGATTAATGAAAACATATACCAACATGCTTACCTTTCAGAGAATTGCTCCCCAGTCACTCAGTTTTTGCTTTCTTATACGGACATCCATTTAATGGTGTATATCAAATAGTATGATCCACCGTAACATGATAGAAAAATTAATAGAAAAGACTGGTATCTAAAATCTTGTCCTGCAGATGGCTGTTCATGTTATATTCCTTTGATCCTTTTCCTCACATCCATATATCAAAGCCATAGCTGTTATATTTGGAATTTTATGGTGAACCTGAGATATTTCAACAACAAAGTGTGAACCAAGAGGATATGTGGTTGATAAAGGAAAATTGTGAGTACAATGAATAATCGGTAACACCACTGGTGACACTATTGTAGTTTAAGTTAAAAAACCCAGCAAATATGTGCTGCCCAAAGATTATTGTGTTCTCTGGTGAGGCAGAAGAGGCTCGTATACTAAGACAAAGAACTGTCTTCACCAAAGCCACTATGTACCTTCTGGGAGGATGAGGGAGGGAGGGAGTGAGGAGGGAACCTCTCTTTCTCCTGTGTTTTTTCCCCATGTCAGAAAGCTAGTACGTGTTACATATTCAAGAGAACTTGTGCAGAAATTACAGTCAGGCAGACAAAGCTCCAAGTTTCGTTCCTAACCAGATGAGGTTTGCCCTTGTGGGTGCAGAACCAGACCCGTCAGCCAGCTGTCAGGCTGGGAATCAATCTGCTTCTTTTCAGAGGAGTGGCAAGCAGTGCCAAGCCCCGCAGGCCTGCGGTACACCCTGCACGAGCCCGAACAGCCTTTCTGGAAACTCTGCTGCCGCTGCTCCCCTTTGCCACTTCGTAACTTCTTCCCTGAGGAGCCACTCTCAGTCCTAATGCTCTTTGATAATGCTTGATCCCCAGAAGTCTGGTTGAATTTATAACCCATAAGTAAAGCATCTTTATGCAGAATTAGCAATAATATCCAGAACTGAGCTACCTCAGTCACACTGCTTAGATCTTGTAGGGCTAAGAAGGCTTCAGACTTATTCTTAGAGAAGCCATTTTTATTATTGCATGAAAGAAGAAATAAGCTCTAGACAACATATCCAGAATTAAAAGGAAGTATAGCTGAGAGAAAACATTGCCCTGTTTACAAATGCAGGTCTTTAAAAAAAAGACACTAGGGTTCTTTTAAAATCCTCTGCACTCAACATTTGTTTTCTGTGTATAAAAAAGCTGTAAGAAAACAAACGTTTAATATGTTTGTCATACTATATATTAAAGCAGTTGGTTGGAGTGATAAAATTGTTATGAATATTTATAACAGCTCTACTAGCAATGCTAGAAGCAATGAAAATTGGCACTGCAAAATCTACTGCTCTCAGATGCAACTTTTATACTTATGTACAACATATAAAATAGATTATTGTCATTTTCCTTTTTAAACAAATCTAGAATCTCTCCTACTGTTTTCTCCCCATGGACTATCTGAGCAATATAGTCTCATCTCTCTGAAGCCACTTTTCCACCGTCATTAATTCTACTGATGCCTTTCCCGTATTTGTCCTTCCAGCCGACTGTTCAAACAGCAGTAGTTCAAAGCCAGATACTTCCATTAGAGGCTAGTTTTGCACAAGTTAATTAGCCCATTTTCTTCCGCACTGTAGCTGTAATTCTACAGAAGAGTTCACATAAATTTTAAAATGTCATGTACAGTTTTATACTTGAGTATTTAGTTTGAACTTTGTCAAAACAATCTTTTTCTGCTTTTCTTATTCTATTGAAATAGCATCAAAGCACCCTAGGTACATTTCATACGTGCTGTTAAGTATCTCTGAGCAGTACAGAAGCTAATGAGCAGTAGAAATCTTCATGTAATAAACTAAATATCCTGCTTTCTAAGAGTTAATTTATGAAAAATATTTAGTTAAAGTTCTTATCATGTAATACCTTTACATATCTTTATACAATGTATCTTAATTGACCTACTAGAAGAGCATATAATTAAATATAAATAGACAGTAAAATGCCCCAGAAATAAACCAATAAGAATGTTTTCTTTAATTTCTATACAAAACCTCTGAGAAGATGACATAGTTGTTTTAACCCATTGTCAGTAAACAGAAGCATAAGCCAGCAAAAATAAAAATAAAATACACAAAATTCATAAATATTACAGTGAAAGATGTGTTACATAATCAGTATGAAACTTTTTTATTGATAAAATACAATGCCATTTCTATGGATTGTGTGCAGAGGGAAAATGATTAGATGATTTTGGGATAGTGAAAGAGAAAAATAACATGAGCTTTAGACAATAGGAATGGAAAGAAAAATACCTCACAAATTTCATAAATATATATCAGTAGACACAAATAGATAGATGTTCGTATTGGATATAAGGAAAATTTTTTTCACTGTGCAGTCAGTCAAGAACTGGAACAGGTTGCCCAGAGATGTTGTGCAGACTCCACACTTGGATGTTTTCAAGGTTCAACTGAATAAAGTCCTGAACAACCTGGTCTGATCTCATAGTTGACCACAGTTTGAGCAGGAGAAGGTGTCTCTTCCCACCTGAATTACTCTATGTACTATAGTAATTACTCTATATACTATAGTGTACACTGAATAACTAATAAAACAATCTACAAACAACAAAACAGAGCAACTTACAGATGACGTCCAATTTTAATGTTTTCAGTGAAATAATGCTATTATTGAATAAGACGTTCTTATTGCATAATATAATGTTATTCATGTGATTCCTAAATATTATTTTTCCACTTCCCTTGCCAGTCCATATGTTGACTTCTTATATCCTCAATGCCCAAGTCAAAACTTCACTGTATTTTTTGTCATAAAACTGTTAGGCAACAGTGGAGTTCATAGGTATTTAAGCAGAAGCTATATTAGGACTGGAAATGTACAGTTTATACAAAATGCACAGATTAATCAACTATTCCCCACAGTTACCTAGTTCTGGTAAGTAACACATAGAATAATAGAATCATAGAATATCTCATGTTGGAAGGGTTCTATATGGATCATGGAGTCCAACTCCATGTTCCTCGCAGGACTACCTAAAGCAAAATCATACGACTAAGAACATCATCCAGACGCTCCTTGAACTCTGATAGGCTTGGTGGTCTGATCACTTCCCTGGGGAACCTGTTCCAGTGACTGACCACCCTCTTGATGAAGAGCCTTTTCGAGTGATAATATAGAGCAATGTACATCATTGAAAATGTGTTGAGTACATTTCAGTGTCAGCTAGCTCAAGCTCATAGTTAAGCCTCTATACATTTGGGAATTTTTTTCTATAACTATATACTTTCATTGTTAGTAGAAAATCATAAATGTGCAATATTATATCAGATTATGAGATCAGTGCCCTTCAGTCTCTCCCACCTGAATAAGGAGTACAATCGAAATATTAAACAGTCATCACAATGAAAGGCTGTAAACAGAATTCCCGTGTTCGTCTTGACACTTCAGCTGAATATAACTAAAGTCATTAGGCAGCTGTGCAAAATTTAAAAAAAATTAAGTTTTTATCTTGAATTTTCTGGTTTATGAATTTCCTTTTCCCATATAGGAACTGGTGGGTCAAGATCACCAAACATTTTTCATATCCTAATAGAATCACAGAAAGCCTCCACAAAACCACAAAAACTTTATTAAAAAAAATAATTAATGAAGCAACTAATCACATGGCAACAACTATTCCTAAAACAGAAATAACAAGTAGAGTGAAAGAAGTATCTAATGTTTCTTTTATGTTGGTCACATAAACCAACAAAAACAACAGAATATTTTTGAATATTTTTTACATTGAAAAATAATTACACTGATTTTCCTAATAAGATGTACAGATGATTGAATGATCTTCAGCCAAAAGGAATTAAACTGGGATCCCAGAGCAGCAAAGGATCATGATAATAGTCATAGTCACTGAAAACTAGAGAACTCCAGCTTTGATTATTCACAGTTAGGAGCAAAATAAGCAAACAAACAAACAAAAACCCCTTATGTAATATGAGTTCATGAGAAATATGAAAAGAAAGTGGTAGTTGGGTCTTTCACAATTTCAACTTCTTCTGCACTCTTGTCACTCAACAAATCTAAAAGATTGGTTGTTTTTCTGTAGAGAAAAACAGGCCCTGGGCCCTATGAGTCCCAAGAATAATCAATAACCTAAAAAATAAATCTGGACTGAATTTTACTACTGTAGTACTTTACTTTTATTAAAAGCATAGGCTAAATTTTCACTGTAAATAGAAAAACAGGTACCTTTATATCAGCTGAATCATGATGGTTAATAGCAGAAAAAGAGGTGAGCTGCTCCCACCACCAGTACCCATATTTTACGATTTTGTAACTAAACAGTATTTTATAAGACCATGGCACCTTCACACATTTCACTGCATTTGTGCAAGCCGTTTGCTCAGGCCTACACGTTGCGTAGGAAAGTATGCATTTAACATTGAAATAAGGTGGGGTTTTTTTCCAATGTCTCATGCAAAAGTTCAAGAAATGTACAAGTGTCATGGTTTAACATCAGCTGGCAACTAAACACCACACAGCTGCTTGCTCACTCCCCGTTGGCAGGATGGGGGGAGAATCAGAAAGGTAACAGTGAGAAAACTGGTGGGTTGAGATAAAGACAGTTTAATAGGTAAAGAAAAAGCTGCGCACACGAGCAAAGCAAAACCAAGAATTCATTTACCACTTCGCATCGGCAGGCAGGTGGTCAGCCATCTCCAGGAAAGCAGGGCTCCATCACGTGTAATGGTTACCTGGGAAGACAAACGCCATCACTCTGATCATGCCCCCTTCCTTCTTCCTCCCCCAGCTTTATACTGGTGAGCGTGATGTCATATGGTATGGGATATCCCTTTGGTCAGTTGGGGTCAGCTGTCCCGGCTGTATCCCCTCCCAACTCCTTGTGCACCCCCAGCCTATTCGCTGGTGGGGTGGGGTGAGAAGCAGCAAAGGCCTTGGCTCTGTGTAAGCACTGCTCAGCAGTAACGAAAACATCCCTGTGTTATCAACACTGTTTTCAGCACAAATCCAAACACAGCCCCATACTAGCTACTATGAAAAAAATTAACTCTATCCCAACCAAAAGCAGCACAGCAAGATAGCTGAGTTTTAATTATTTTTTAACAAAACCAGTTAAAATCAAGCCTGTGCTCAAGTTTAAATCACTTTTCAACAAAACATAAATTCTCCAAATCTCTTCTTTTTTGACTTCCCTATCTAATAAGGAGCTGGGCCCTTGATATAAGGAGGATGGCTGTAGAAAGACTCCAGAAAAGTTCAGCCAGCCAACTCAGCACTGTGTATTTCTGAAGTACCTAAATTATAATAAAATACTTTAACCTGTTTATTAATGGCAATCAGATCAGACATACATTCTCCATGTGCTGTATAACTTTTGTAGTGCCTTCAGCAGCTGTTTCCAATACTGCACAGTAAGTTTCTAGCACACCCTAAAGCTTCTTGCTGATTATTTTTCATCCTTCAATATGTGCCCTTTCTTCATCTACTACCAAATGCTCAAAAAATGCACATTCTTAATTTCCCTTTCTAAGGTATAATTAAATAATAAAATTTCATTATTTTATAAAGTCTGATGAAAAGAGAAGTGTCACGTACTCAAACTACATAACAGTCAAGTTCATCTTCCCGTCTGTATGAGAGATGTGCACTGATAGAATTCTACGTCATTAGAAGCCAGAGGAATACTTATCACTATAAAAAAAAGTTTCTATTTTTCCCCATATGTTCACCTGAAAAATGAAATAATATAATCTATATTACATTTAATTAATTAATTCAAGCTATGCCATTTTTCCTCAG